GCAAACAGGTTGAACAATCAATAACATTATCCCTGCCTGCATACATGTGAACAAAAGCTGTAGAGGACATGCAAATTCTACAGTCATTCCTCATTTGCTTTAGACAGAGTGCAGCTACTGGAATCTTCCAGATTTGAGTGTTTTAAAATCAGAGCTCTGAATACACAAAAGGAAAGAGAAATGGAGCAGCTGACATATTTTAAGCTCACGGTGATACTCAGTGACAGGAGCACAGAGCTCTAATGTCCACAAGATGTTGTAAGGTAGGGTCTTTCAGTAAATCAAGTCCCTTACCTATGTTCTATGACACTGAGGTTCTTGGAGCTATGGGTTAGAAATCCAGGAGGCAATATGTCATTAATCTAATGAAGTCCTCATCTTGCACTCAGAGGCCCACTAGTCTGCCCTTCTATATATTAAGTAAAACCAAGAGAAAATAAGAGGATGATGGCTTCTTTCTGTCACCTCGGTGCTAAACCTTTTACACACACTTGATACTTTCATAGAGGGACCAAGGACCTCAAGTCCTGGGCAGTCTCCCTACTGTGCTACTCACTACTGTCTCAACACTGTAGGTACTTTATGGGTCTGTATTTAACACATTTCCTTCCAATAAAGATAAAACCACTTAACTCTTAAGAGCCAGTGCTTAGCTCAAGAGGAAAGGAGGAAAATCTCAGAATAACCATGGCCACTTTGCTATAGGGTTTACATATTTTAACCCACCTAAGGTTTTACAGACTTTAGCCTCGCTCAAATTTTATCACCCTCTGAGGTAGCTGGAGACCACAGCAGGAAAAATAACCTGACCAGTAATCACCCACTGATTAGTGGCACAGCATAGGACTTAGAGGTTATAAGCCCAGATCCAGATAGGGCTAGGTTTGAGCCCTGCCTCTGATGACCAGCTGGGTGACCTTGGGAAAGTCACTTGACCACTCTGATTCTTGTTTTCTTATCTGTGAAATGGGGCTAACAATTGTTACTTTTCTCCCAAGATTGTTGGGAAGATTTAATAAGATAATACATAGTAGGCATCTTGCATAGTGTCTGAGAAATAGGAAATGCTCAGTCAATAGTGGCTTTCACTAGCCAGGCATGGTGGTACTCGCCTATAGTCCCAGCTACTCAGGAGGCTGAGGCAGGAGGACCACTTGAGCCCAGGAGTTTGAGACTAGTGCACTATGATCATGCCTGTGAATCACCACTGCGCTCCAGCCTAAGCAAATAGCAAGACCCCATCTATAAAAAAAAAAAAAAAGTGGCTCTTATTATTAGCTGTATAGGAAATGTCTGACTCACAAGCCTGCGTTCTTTCCACTGAGGAAGAAACTACTCTTACATGGTAATTACAGCCACCAAAAGCTAAAAGGTAACCAATACATAACTGAGAGTTTTCATCCAAATTCCACCTGTGTTTTCACAGCTAAAGGGGCTCACATACTCCAGATTTTCAGTGTTCTTTTTTAAAAATGTGGATCCTGGAATGTCACCTAACTCTCCAACTATGTATTCAGTGTCTGTCATATTCTTTCTTATGCAGTTATTTTGGGGTTGTCTTTTCTCACGAACAGATCTTGAACTCTGAGAGGAGTGGCTGGGGGTGACTAATAATTAACATTTATCAAGCACTCACCGTGTGTCAGGCACTCAGCCATGGCCAGCTTCACAGGCATGCAACCTGTGCAGTCACACAGGGCCCCATGCTCAGAAGGGCCCTGTTCTTGGTTTAATGCTCTACTGCTGCCTTCTTCATAATATTTGAACAAGGGGTTCTGCTTTTCCTCTTGCCTTCTAAATTAGGTAGCCAGTCCTAGTGCTAACTAACCACTTCTCCAGGTACTATCCCTTTAGTTTTCACTAAAACCCTGAGATAATCTGTATTATCCTAGTTTTCACAGTTCAGGAAATGGAAGCTCAGAGAGGTCAAGTAACTTGCCCAGGCTCACATAGTTCTTATGCTGGCTCCACCAGCATGTAAATATAAGAAGTCTGACCCTAGAGCCTTATTCTTAATTTTAAACCTCTATGTCATCCATATATCTCCCTCCCCTTGTACTGCAACATTCAGAAGCACACTAGCACTTAATAAACAGATGAGTGAATGCATGGATGCAAGCAGCAACCTGATGAATGTTAGGCAGCTAGGAGAAATGTAAGCAAAATGGCTAAGGCACAGATGCCATTTGTTCTTGGTTATTAAAATGCCTTGTTTAGGCCAGGTATGGTGGCTTACTGTAATCCCAGCAATTTGGGAGGCCGAAGCAGGTGGATCACTTGAGGTCGGGAGTTTAAGCCCAGCCTGGTCAACATGGCAAAACCCCATCTCTACCAAAAATACAAAAATTAGCTGGACACGATGGCACGTGCCTGTAGTCCCAGCTACTCAGGAGGCTGAGGGAGGAGAATCACTTGAACCCGGAAGGCGGAGGTTGCAGAGAGCTGAGATTACGCCATTGCACTCCAGCTTGGGCGATAGCAAGACTCCATCTTAAAAAAAAAAAAAAAAAAAAAAAAAATGCCTTATTTGGTTGTGTTTTTTCAAAGTGTGAGCCACAGATCTAAAGTAGACTTGAAGCTCCATCCTTCCCAACACTGCCAAGTGTTCAGTCTGTCAGAATTCTACTGTCACTGTTTCCTTATTGGGGCATCTTGCACAGGTTTACCAACCTTTCTGAGCCTCAATTTGCTCACATGTAAAAGAGAATCATAATACCTTCCTAAACCATGTCACCCTTTTCATAAGGCCAAAAAGAAAATATAAGTTACTGGTCATGACACATTTGAGTTGGGCCTCGGATTAGATAAAAAGATGAAAATACTCCAGCCCTGTCCTCATGGAACTCACAGACAAGCAGGAAAGAAAATTTGACCCAAATAACTATAGTACAGATAACCCATGTTATGACAAGATTCAGAGTGCTCAAGGAACACTTCCCATTCCCTTAAAAAAAAACTTCTTAGGGGCTCTCCAGTAACTAAGCTGGCAACTCCAAGTGTCCTGGACCCCAGTCACCAATCCATCCTCGCAGTCTGTCAGCTTTCCATCCTAAATCTCTAAAGTTCATCTATATCTTCCTATCTTCACTGACACTATCCAACTTAAGTCATTCAGCAAATATTTATTGAGTACCTACTATACTAAATGTCAGAAATCAGTGGTGAACAAGCCAGACACCTCCTGAAGCTCATATTCTAGTTGGAGGAACAAACTTTAACAAGGAAGCAAAAGAAATAAAATACTAAGAAACAAAAAGGGTGCTGGACACAGTTACTTTAGAGTGGTTAGGAATGTCTCTGTTCTCCCAGGACAGAACATAGCCCCGACTTGCCTGGGCTACTGCAACATACTGCCTTCCATACCTCTTTTCTTACACCTTGCAATCTGCTCCACAGAGCAAAGTGACTCTTTAAACATGTAAAGCCTTTGTCACATGTTCCCTGTCAATGTAAAATAATGTAAAAGGTCAGAATCTAGTTTAAAGAGAGTTTATTCAAGCACAAAGGTTGAGGATGGCCTGCCCGGGAAGCACAGAATATAAGAACGTGTCTGTCTTATAAAGGATGGAAGTCAGTGTTCCAAAGCGTAGAAGTTTGTATTCAGTGAGGTTTAACAGAATTTCAACATCTTTCTATGCAAGGCTTAATGCATAGTTACAACGATCTGAGTAGTTAAGGTGGTCTTTTTCCTTCAAGAAAGGTATATTTAACATCACACCCTGCAGGTGTAACTGTCGTGGGGTCAGTTCAATTCAGGGCACCATCTGGTCTGAGTTAGGTACAGGACAATAAAGGAGGCCATCTATTACAAACATCAGTGATTGACAGGGGAGAAATCTGGTTTCTGCTCTGCTACATGGACCCAGACCACAGCCACATTTCTCTCAAAGCTTAAAGTATTTGGGAGGTTCCAATAGCTTTTACATTCTATTTATTTTCATATTCCATTGCAATCAGAATCAGTCTAAATTCAGCAAAAAAAAAATTTTGAAGCCGGGGGCAGTGGCTCATGCCTGTCATCACAGCACTTTGGAAGGCTGAGGAAGGCGGATCACCTGAGGTCATGAGTTCAAGCCCAGCCTGTCCAACATGGTGAAACCTCATCTCTACTAAAAATACAAAAATTAGCTGTGCCTGGTGGTGGGCGCCTGTAATCCCAGCTACACAGGAGGCTGAGGCAGGAGAATTGCTTGAACCTGGGAGGCGGAAGTTGCAGTGAGCCAAGATTGTACCACTGCACGCCAGCCTGGGTGATAAGAGTGAGACTCCATCTCAAAAAAGAAATAATTTTGAACACCTAATTAGGGCACTGCTCAATGGGAATGAATAGACAATATCTCTGCCTTAAAAGAGCTTATATTTTAATGAGAGGAAATGAGAAAATACACACCATTTAAAAAACAAGTCCATAAGAAGGGCATTCGAGAAAAAGGCTGGGAGGAGTGATAGGCAATGGTTCAGGCTGCAATGTTTTAAACCGTTCACGTGATCTAGCCCTACCTAACAACTAGTCCTATTGCCCTCCCGCCTCTGTATATTTCAGTCCCTTACATGGAATACTCTTCTCTCTTTATTAGGCTTCTGCAGATGTTTCCCTCTGCCTGAACCCTTTCTTCAGCTCAGCTCAAATACCCGCTTCCTCTGGGAAAACATCCCACACGGCTAAATTTCTATTCCAGGCTTCCGCAACACCTGCCCCTCACCTTTAAACACCGCTCATATTCTGACTTTACATCCCGCTTGTATCTGTTTATCGCTCATAACATCAAGTAAGTTCCATGCGGACACAGCTATGATCTGCTTTGTTTGCCGCCGACCCTGCGCCCAGCACGGAGCCTCTGTAGTTACCACTAGGACCCGGCCTACTCGCGAAACACACTGAGAGCCGGAAGTGTTGCGATCGCTCCGAACGACCGGATGGGGAACTGCGCGGGCCACAGGGCAAACGGAAGTATAGCGTTCCTGTCCGGAAGCCCTGAGAGGGAAACGCCCGCAAAGGCTGGTTTTTAAGCGGGAGCATCTCTTCACTTGCAGCGAGTGCGCGTGCGCTGCCTCCCTCAGCCCAAGTCGGGAACATGGCCGTAAGGTCGCTGTGGGCGGGCCGGCTGCGGGTGCAGCGCCTACTGGCCTCGACTGCCGCGCGGGAGAGCAAGTAAGCATTGCAGGCGGGGGGTCGGTAGCGTGAGGACTCTGCGGGGCTAGCGAGCCAGCCCGGGTGGTTGTGGGCTGGAGAGCGAGAGTTACCTGAACGTAGTCGAGGGGAGCAAGCCTCTCGGCCTCTACGACCATGCACTCACGGCCCCATTTTACAGACCGGGAAACTGAGGCCCCCAGCCGCACCTCTTTCTTATGCCGAGGAAGCGGGGGAGATCCGAGGTCATGTATGGCCTGGAAGGTGAGAAGTCTCTTAAGCCCCCAAGGGAGGGATGTACCTCTCTCCCGGCCTCTTCTCCCAGCCTGTGGTACCCGTGAGTAGATTTGGGTTCTCTTCCCTCACTCCGCGTGACCTTAGGCCAGTCCTTTCTCCGTTATCCGGGCACTGTTGTACCTGTCAGTAAAAGGAGGCCGCTGAACTTGGTTTCTCCAAACGGCCATTGCATCAGCCTTCGGGAGACAAGTTCCATTTGCTGCCTTTATTCATCGGCAGCTTATATTGGTCGCTTACGAGGCCGACTGCAGATCTATGGGTGGTTCTTTTTATTATTCCCTATTTAGTAATTGAGGAAACTGAGGTTTAGAAAAGTTGAGTAAGTTTTCCAAACTTAAATATTTGGGAAGTGGTGGAACCCGAGCTGGAAACCAGGGCATTAGAATGGGCGCTCTTATTTAATGAGCGATGTTAATTAATTTTCTCAGAGATTATTGCCTCTACACTGTTTCTTCCTGGGAAAGAGAATAAAAATGGTTGAGTACGAGGTAGGGTTGGACCTCTGAATAGTAAAGTAAGCTACGGGAGAATCTGGTAAATGTGCTTAACTATATATGTCACCGTTTTTATCTTAACACACCTGACCCAACATCCTACCCTAGCACCTAAGTAAGAGGTTGTATTCAGGGTTTGGGGACTTGGTTTTGTTTACCGTTCTCAAGTCTTTTTGGCAGCTTGTTGGTGATGTAAGGAAATGACCAGAAGAAAAATGGTTCCTTCTGATAAGCTGTCTCCCTGCTTCAATTCTGAAGCAGCAGGAATTGAGATTGGCCACAACTCCCCACCCCTATTTCTTGGTCTAAGCTTTGGCCATTTTCCCTTTGAACTGGCCCTGAGAATATTTTGACCTGCTTTTTCAAGTGGATAAATGTGGTTTTTTAGGGAGAAGGAGGTGTTTCCCTGTGTGTAATTATCCCCAGATCTACAGTGACCATATTTTCTGACCCCAGAATGTGGAACTGTCTATAAAATCACACATCAGATTATAATAATTGAATTTAAGAGCAGCTTGGAAAGTTGGGGAGATACAAGTCCTCTTGCCTACACCTTTAAATTTGCCCAGGATGCTCTTCCCTTTTTTAAAGCCGACTCTTTTACCCTCTTTAAGCATTTGCTCAGCCGTCTCCTCAAGGACCACTCTACAATATATGCCAGTCCATATAAATTGTTTTAAAGAACTCTTGTACTCACAGATTGATTTTCAGGATAATTTTACTTAAAGTCAAATTACGAAGATCCAGGAGGTGCAATGGAAACTTCCTTGAACTGGCGGTCAACACTTCCACAGTCCAAGATTTGCTGTAAACTAGCCTCTAGTCTGAATTTCTTCCTGTGTAAACTGAACTAAATGTCAAAACAGTTTAGTTGTACAAAATTCTAGATTACATAACTAGTTGAATGCAAAGATCTATTTTCACCTGTGTCTGTAGTTCACTGGCAGTAACATATAGTATTGTAAGTATTTCATTGACTTGATCTTATATATAGGTGGGAATTCCTTTCTCAGCACAGGTTCTCCTAAAAGCCTTACAGCTTGTGGTGAGGAAGGCTTAGAATTCTAAGCCTAACTCCAGTTTGATAAGGTCCCTTTACTGGACTAAATTTCCCCCATCTGTAAGATGGAAGGTTGAACCAGAACTATATGACTTTTTGAATGCCCACTTCTGATAATGCTCCTCTGGTTCTGGTTATTAGCATTTGGTTTCCTTATGCTGACTTTTGTATACCCAGTTCTGGCTATTTCTGCTGCCTGGTGCTTAGGGTCCTAACCCAGCAGAATACCAACTATGTGATCTTGAGCAGGCCATTATGCCTTAAGCCTCTCAGCATCACTTTTCTCATCTGTAAAATAGGGATAATGATAGGACTTATCCACATATTGTTGTGAGAGGAAAAGATGACTCAAAGTGTCTGGTACATGGTAAGGACTTCGTAAGTGTTCATTTGTTACTATAACTGAAAACACTTTCCCCAGAGATTCAATCTGGGAAGATCTCTGGTCTCTAAACTTGGTTGTAATTTTGGCTTATGATGGCATTTCTTCATTATGCACCACCTCCTTCCTGTTACAGGGGATGGCCACTTCCATTCAGCACTGCCACCCAAAGAACTGCTGGTGAGGACTGCCGTTCTGAGGACCCTCCTGATGAGCTTGGGCCCTCTCTTACTGAACGAGCCTTAAGGGTAAAAGCTATTAAACTGGAGAAAGAAGTCCAGGATTTAACAGTGAGTCGATTTTATATTTGTTCGTCATATTGTCTCTCTAGTTTAAATGTCCACATAAAGTTTTTCATGTCAATTTTTAAAATGAAGTTTTCCCTAATTGACTCTTTATCTGCTACCCCTCATCCCTCCTCCACTCCTTGCTAGGTATACTGGGCAGAAAAAAACTGTAGTAGTTCAAAAACACCACTGGCTAAAGATAGTCATCTCTTTTCGGCTTCCTGTTATGTCACAGCGCTTAGATATCTGATGTTTTGGCAGATTAAAAGAGGTGTACAGTGCCTGGAATATAGTAGACAATAAGTATGTGTTGAATGAGTGAGGTCACTGACCATTGTTCTTTGCTAATGAGACCACGTCTGGCATACTGGACCCAGTCCTGGGTTGATAGACACATTTAGAGGGAGATAGATAAACCAGAGGAATTCCAAAGCAAAACCACCTAGATAGAATGGTAAGGAGGCTGGAAAGCATACCTTATGACAGGAGTTAAAAGAACCAAGAATTGCATTAAGAATGAGAGAGAAAAAGACTAGAGAGGGTAAAATAACTGCCTCCAAATAGATGACATATTTTTTTTAATGAGACGTAGTTTCGCTCTTCTTGCCCAGGCTGGAAGTACAATGGTGCAATCTTGGCTCACTGCATCCTCCACCTCCCAGGTTCAAATGCTGCTTCTGCCTCAGCCTCCCAAATATCTGGGATTACAGGCGCCTGCCATCATGCCAGGCTAATTTTTGTATTTTTAGTAGAGACAGGGTTTCACCATGTTGGCCAGGCTGGTCTCAAACTCTTGACCTCAGGTGATTTGCCCATCTCGGCCTCCCAAAGTGCTAGGATTATAGGCGTGAACCACCGTGCCCTGCCTAGATGACATACTTTTAAAACTTATTCTCAGTTATCCTTAAGTTCAAGTCAATGAAAGGAAGTTGGAGGTTGGTAGTGTTGGCTGAATGTGAAAAAGAAAGCTTTTTCTCAAGATAATGAATTTAAAACCATTAGGAGTTTGAACTACCAGGCTAAATGACTACCTAGCAGTGCTGCTAACGAGTGGGTTTCTGCTTTGACTGGGGATTTGGAGTAGCTGATCTAAAATTTCTATAACTCCTAGTTTGTTTTATAAAAGCCTATCAGAAGGGTGAAATTCGTAAAGTAAACAAAAACATTCTCTTCCACCAATAAGCATTTGTTTTCTCATCCTTTTGATTTTGCTTTTGATGTTCAGTTGAGATACCAGAGAGCTGTAGCTGATTGTGAAAACATAAGGAGGCGAACCCAGAGATGTGTGGAAGACGCCAAGATATTTGGTGAGAGATTTATTTACAATAAAAATGTCTTTGGCTGTGTGCAGTGGCTTATGCCTGTAATCCCAGCACTTTGAGAGTCCGAGGCTGTCAGATCACATGAGATCAGGATTCGAGACCAATGCAGCCAACATGACAACACCTTGTCTCTACTGAAAATAGAAACATTAACTGGGCATGGTGGTGGGCGCCTGTAATCCCAGCTACTCTGGAGGCTGAGGCATGAGAATCACTTGAACCCAGGAGGCAGAGGTTGTAGTAAGCCAGGATCATGCCCCTACGCTCCAGCCTGGTCAACAGAGTGAGACTCAGTCTCAAAAAAAAAAAAAAAGTCCTTGATTTCAAGATAGCTACCTGTTTTGACACAGGACCTTAAGCCTGTCCCTGGATTGAAGTCAGATTAACAAAGTACTTGCCTCTCACCAGCCCCCACTGGAGCTTTGGTATTGTGTCATAGACCTCTCTAATGATGACATTTCTTGTCCTCATTTCCATAAGAAAAATCAAGTTTAGAATTGAGAGTAATGGGATTTCTCAACAACTGAATTTACTTTTGTCTTATAACAGTTCATATGACTCTTTTTAAAAATCAGACAAGTTTTGTGGTCCATCTCCAGCAACTTCATAGCCAACTTGCCTCATCTATGGCTGTGTCTTACTTTCGCGTTCCTATTTAGCCAGTCCTCAAGAATAAACCATTCATGACAACCCTTAGCATAGTGTTGTTGACTTTCTTTTTTTATTGTTATTGCCCTTCTCATGAAATATTAATGTCTTGTTCCTGTTGAGAATGTATGCCTTAGCACAACCGGGACAGGCAGGAATTTTCAAAATGTACATAATACAAGCAAATAGCAACAAAATTTCATGATACATAAAAATATAGGCCGGGCGCGGTGGCTCAAGCCTGTAATCCCAGCACTTTGGGAGGCCAAGACGGGCGGATCACGAGGTCAGGAGATCAAGACCATCCTGGCGAACACGGTGAAACCCCGTCTCTACTAAAAAAATACAAAAAACTAGCCGGGCGTGGTGGCGGGCGCCTGTAGTCCCAGCTACTCGGGAGGCTGAGGCAGGAGAATGGCGTGAACCCGGGAGGCGGAGCTTGCAGTGAGCTGAGATCCAGCCACTGCACTCCAGCCTGGGCGACAGAGTGAGACTCCGTCTCTTTCTCTATATATATATTATATATATTCATGATACATAAATATAAAAATAGTTGTTTTTAAAGGACAGGCTTAAGCCTGTTGTCTACAGTCTTACCTAGTTCTCGGGTTCTTTTTCATTTCCTAGTCAGGTTCCTGGTCATATATGCCTTCTGAGAGAGACACTGACTTGTCAGTTGGGTTGGGGTGGTAATCAGTGATGATCTCTGAGTCCTGTGTGGCAGCCTTTCCACTTGCTGGACTACTTAGCATACTAGCCATCTATTTAGGCCTTACCCAAAGTCTATGCCCAAGGGCAGAGTGATTTCCTCACAAACAATAAAAATATCTGTCTTCTCTGCAGGAATCCAGAGTTTCTGTAAGGACTTGGTGGAGGTGGCTGACATTTTGGAGAAGACTACAGAGTGCATTTCTGAAGAATCAGAGCCTGAGAACCAAAAGCTCACTCTGGAGAAGGTCTTCCGAGGGCTGTTGCTTTTAGAAGCAAAGCTGAAAAGTGTGTTTGCCAAGCATGGCCTGGAGAAGCTGACACCCATTGGTGACAAATATGATCCCCATGAGCATGAACTCATCTGTCATGTGCCAGCTGGTGTTGGGGTGCAGCCTGGCACCGTGGCATTAGTAAGACAAGATGGCTACAAACTTCATGGCCGCACCATTAGGCTTGCCCGAGTGGAAGTGGCAGTGGAGTCTCAGAGAAGACTGTGAAGAGGCCATCAGGAACTGGATGTTCTCCCAGAGCGCAGTCACCTATGTTTCTTTTATTTATTAAACTAGGTTTGTATTGTACATGAGGTACTTCATGTGATATATTTTGGATTTAGTCATATTGGCTTTATTTCTAAGATATTCTATTGATTTAACGTGACCTGTTTGGTCTCATCAGAAGTCTTACCATTGGGCATTTGAACAGTGTGACAAGTGTTCCGATGGCCTTTATCAAAACATGTTTAGGAAAATTGGTACTGTGATAAATTTGAATCCAAAATCCTTTTAACTAGGTGTTTTCAACTACATGTTTCTTCCTAGCGGTCCCTATAATAGGAATTGTATAGTATTGTGTATTTTGTGGAAAAAGGAGATGGTGGGGATTGGTTCAACATTTGGGTACGTAGAGGATAAAGCTTCATGGCTGTATAAATTTAGATCATTTGGATTGATTTTTATACACATAGATTTTCAGGACTTTACCTTTTGTTTTGTTTTTTCCTTTTAGCCATCTTTTGTTCTTGTAATCCCAGCTAGATAGGCTTTATGCTCACATCATTGTCCCATACCCCACCCCTTTCTCATCCCCATTTGCAGGGGCTAAAGGTCTAGGTGAGACTTGGAAGGCAAGGAACATTGAAATTTGAGATACCCAGGACCCTTTCAAGCAAGAATGGCCAAAAAGCCTTGTGCTGTCTTTGCTCTGAGTTATCTTCAAATTATTTTCAGCTTCCCTGTCATATAATCATTTCAGGCAAATTGAGGCAGCACTAACAGCTAATGACCCAGATGGCTCTATTTGGGTAATTTACCTACAACTTAACTCCACCAGCCCTTATTCCTCTTCCCCTTTGTCAGTTTTGCCTTATAATCCTTTACTAAATGATGGGAGGTGGTGATCAGTACAAAAGTGTTAGGTTCCCATGATTTCTCATTTCATTTATTAATAGTTACGCTGAATTTTTTTTTTTTAACTTTCCTCCGGCTCTGTTTATGTTATTTTTTGTGATAAGAACATTTAACATAAGTATTCTCTCCTCTTAGCAATTTTTTTTTTCCTGTGTTGCCCAGGCTGACCTCCAACTCCTGGGCCCAAGCAATGCTGCCTCAGCCTGCCAAGTAGCTAGGACTACAGGCATTCACCACTGCGCCCGCAAAGTTGTTTTTTTTTTTTTTTTTTAAGTTGGTACTCACAAATCACTACCTCCGTTATACTGACAAGCTTTATTTCCTATTCTTTGTATCTGTTAAGTCACATTTGTGTAAACATTGAGCTCACCTTTTATATATTAACCTCCTAGAATTAATGGGCCTATGTGGGTTTTTTTCAGTCTTACAGCTGGTGTTCTGTAAAAGAGTTGTCCAATAAATGACTTAATGAATGATACATCAGTCAGATTTTAGGAAGGCAGTCAATTATGGATATTTTAATGTTGGAAGAAGCCTTAATGATCAAATCTCACCCTTTCTGCTTCTGAAGTATGAAAATCTAGTCATTTTAGGACTGGACACAAGGAAAATAATCTCTGTTGACTAAATTGCAGTAAGAATATGAATAAAGAACAACTAGATATTAATGTCAATTATTGAAGATTAATGGGCATGCAATTAAGTCTCCAGCAGACAATCAGATGTTGTTGGATGTCTAGATTATATAGGTTTAGATTGAAGTTATTACTCATAAAATAAATCCATTTTCCGCTGGAACTCTATGGCATTCAGTGGAGTGGTGAAAAGTTATCCTCTTATACATTATAGATAATTCTAAGACAGCACACAAATGTATCAGTAAAGCCATCTCCTTGTGGGCCCTATCATCTTCATCGGATTTAGACCCTTAAAAAACAAATATGCACTTTTAAAATGCAATCAAAAGACTGGTGGATAAGCTTTTAAAACCAGAACATCTTTTGGCATTCCGCTAAGTGTATATTGTAAATTTAATGAACAATCAATGTTCACAATAGGAAGTTGTCTTTTTTTACCTTCCTTTCTGTGAGATAGACACATGGTGACAATAAGAAAATGAGCTGATTGTAATTACTCTGTGTTTTTTATTGCGAGCTATCATTACCATTAATTACAATTAACAATTTTAGGTATGGAATGTTATGATTACCTAAAGAGATGTCTGTACCTAACGAGCTCAAGTGATCCTCCCACCTCAGCCTACCAGGTAGCCAGGACTACAGGCAAGTGCACCACCACGCCTGGCCAGTTTTTTTTTTTTTTTGGTTTTTGGTTTGTTTTTTACAGGTGGGATCTCACGATATTGCCCAGGCTAGAAGAATTTTCTAATACTCTAATACCTCCCATTTTGGCAAGTAAATTGAGAATAATTTTAGGTTATTTTATTATTCAGTAGTTTTGCAGACTTAAAAGTATAAATTTAGAATTAGAAGATGAAGCTATAATAGTAAGAATCTCAAGTTGAAGGGCTCTGGGGAGCCTAAGCAGCATATTAGGGCATAGGCTTGAACTTAAATCCCAGCTCAGTCACCTGCGTGACTTTAGGCACCAGTCATTTCACCCTTCTGAGCCTGTTTCTTTATTTGTAAAATGATTATAATAATTCTTTCACAGCGTTGTGAGGATTAAGTGAAATGTGTTAAATGCCTACTACAGTAGGCTCTCAGATATTTATTTTTATTTTTTTATTATGTACATTGTTTTTCCTGCCTTTTTATGGCTGTCTAAACTTTAGGGAAAAGAGAAGACTGGTTAATGATGAGTAGAAAAAACTTGTAAGCTAATCATTCACTGACTTATTTTCCTTCCATTTTCTGGTTTTTTAAAAATTAGCCACACCACAAGAAACCCACATTTTTAGATGGAAAGAGCAAGAAAATTGTGTCAGTGCTCTTAGTTATTTTCATCTTAATGGTATAGTGAAAAGACATTGGCTTGCAGATGATGCTAAGGAAGCTTTGGCTCACTCTCACTTGAAGAGGGGATCTTGATGTTTTAGTACTTGTACTGTACAGATGTTTTACTGACTTTTCTTACTGCTATAAAGGAATCAGGCAGTTGGGTATTGATACATTATTTGGTGCTCTCATTCATAGCAAAGGATTTGATAAATAAGTTCTTAAAACACTAAAGCAAAATCAAATGAGCAAAACTAAGGATAAAATGTAATATTCATCAGAACAAGGATCACTGAGAAAAAATATTCAGAAACAACTTTAATAAAACCTGAATTGAAATAACTGCAGTTCAGGTGTTTAGAGTCTTTGTCTGCCTATTGGTGTTGTATACGGAACGTTATGGTCACTTCATGACTGCTGACCTGCCTCATTGATGCTCTGGAGAGGTACCTTGAGATCTCATAGCTGCACAGCCAAGTGGATGCAGTGTGGGCTTTCCCCACCCTGCCTTCGTGTTGAAGTCTTGTCTGTTTTATTCCTCCTTGACTTGCCTCTTTCTGATTCCTATGTATTTCTTAGATCTGGATTCCTATTTCTGCCTTTTTTTTTTTTTTTTTTTTTAAGATGGAGTTTCGTTCTTGTTGCCCAGGCTGGAGTGCAATGGCGCAATCTCGGCTCAGTGCAACCTCCGCCTCCCAGGTTCAAGCGATTCTCCTGCCTCAACCTCCCCAGTAGCTGGGATTACAGGCACCTGCCACCACACCCAGCTAATGTTTTGTATTTTTAGTAGAGACAGGATCTCACCACACTGGCCAGGCTGGTCTCAAACTCCTGACCTCAGACGATCCACCTGCCTTGGCTTCTCAAAAGTGCTGGGATCAGAGGCGTGAGCCACCGTGCCCAGCCCTATTTCTGCCTTTTTTTCTGGCATTGACTTGTTTTCTTGGGTTCACCTTTTGGTTCTAGGTGTCTTATTTCCTTTGATTACTGCACTTGTACTGCTGGATTACTGACTATTCTCCTAACCAGATTATAGACACTTGGCCTTGTTCCGACCTTCAGCTTCCCCATGTCCTTCCCCCCTTGTGACTGCCTGGCCTTGTCTTTACCTCTGCTTCTCAGCTAGCTTCCATATACCTAGACTCATGGCTGAATGGCCCTCTGTTGGGCCAGCCTTCCCTGGGATTTGGTCTTGCGTTTTCATTATCTTTCCAATCCTGTCTATACACTGTAGCTCCATAAACCATTTGTCCCATATTCCCAGTGCTAGTCAATGAGTATATGCTTATTCCTCTCCACTCAGATGTCCATGCTCTCAAGTCCACTGTGGTTTTAAAACATGGCTCCAGAATTTCTTGACACCTTTATTGAGGAGGGCCCATGTCCATTCTTGATTCTCCTTGGAGCTTTGTGATTGCTTGACCAATAGAATACAGTGGAAGTGACACTGCTATTTTCTCGACCCAAATCTTAAAAAACTGGTATCCCCACTTCCTATCTTGAGATGCTCACCCTTGGAACCTTACCATCATGCCAAGAGCAAGCTGAAGTAGCCTGTGGAATGGAACTGAGGGCCCTGGTTGAGCTTTCAGCTGAGCCAGCACTGTCTTGCCAGCCAGTGAGCTATCTTGAAGATGGATCCTCCCACACCCAGTGGAGCAGCCCCAAATGATACCACATGGAACAGATGAGCTGATCTCACTGAGTCCTGCCTAAGGTGCAGTGTGAGCAAAATAGATGACTGTTACTTTAAGCCGCTAAATTTTTTAATGGTTTGTTACACAACAGCAGATAAAATGATACAGTCACCCCACTGCATTCCCAGTCTGGCACCTCTGTGCCACAAGAATTATACCTACTTACTTTTCCCCTTATCAGCTCTTTCAAACCTCTCTTACAACGTTGATGAGCACACACACTGTCAATGGGCTGGTAGGGTTGGAGGGGCTTCCTAACAGAAGAAAACAGCTCTAGATTTAAGAATTACAAAGGACCCTAAAATTACAAGCAAAGTATAGACAAGAAGATGAATTTGAACACTAACATGATTTACCCTACAAAAAAATGACAGGAATCAGAGTAAGTTCATAAGAGAACTTGGCACACAGTGGTCAATGAGTGCTTGTTTTAAAAACTGTTTAAGGGAGTATCTTGAATCTTTGGAAATGAACTTAAAAGGTGTTGCATCCTGATACAAACATTGCCAACAAAAAAGTTTAAGATTATGACAAATGCATGTTTATTCATCTACCAGTTTACTAGTAGTAATCCAGTTTGGCCCAAGTAAGTTGCAGTGCTGACTTAGAACCCCAGCTATAAGCTCTTTCACCATTCTCTGAATCCCTTCAGTTTTGTTTTTGTTTTTGTTTGAGTCGGAGTCTCGCTCTGTCGCCTAAGCTGGAGTGCAGTGGTGCGATCTCGGCTCACTGCAACATCCACCTCCCAGGTTCAAGCGATTCTCCTGCCCTGGTCTCCTGAGTAGCTGGGATTACAGGCGCACACCACCAAGCCCAGCTAATTTTTGCATTTTATTAGAGAGAAGGTTTCACCATGATGGCCAGGCTGGTCTCGAACTCCTGAACTCAAGTGATCCGCCCACCTCGGCCTCCCAAAGTGCTGGGATTACAGGCATGACCCACTGTGCCCGGCCCAGTTTCTTCTTTTAGCCATAATCTCACTGAGTAAATACGGATTTCATTTATTTTTATATATGTATTTATTTTTAGAGATGGGGACTCTGTCATTCAGGCTGGAGTGCAGTGGCACAATCATCGCACACTAACCTCAAACTCCTGGTCTCAAGCCTCCCACCTCTGCCTCCTGAATAGCTAGGACTACAAGTGTGCACTACCACTCCTGGCTAATTTTTTTTCTTTCTTTCTTTTTTAAGATACGGGGTCTCAGAGTCTCATTTTGTTGCCCAGGTCTCAAACTTCTGGCCTAAGCGATCCTCCTGCTTGACCTTCCAAAATGCTGGGATTACAGGCTTGAGCCACCCCTAGCCTCCGGATTTTCTTTATTCTGAAACTCATCCCTAACTTTATTTTCTGTCAGAGGAAATCTGTTTTTCACAGCGTGATAAACTAGCAAGTCTGAGCTGCTGCTCTTGTCTTCTTAGGGGATGAAAATGGGAGTTCATCCCTCCTTTTCTCCTTTCTGAAAAGAGAGTAGATGAAACCCTTCCCCGCCT